ATTGTAGAGGAATTTTGGAAACCTGTCTTCGGAGACTCTCACCACCCGAGTGCGGCCATGAAAAGCAATTTTGTACCTACCTATTTTTGTCTTATATATATCTACCACCATTTGGAGCTATAATGAAGTCCTTGATTGAAATAACACTTCCTTCCTTCAGATGACACCTAAAAAGCTCCATATATAATAAATACGATACCCCTGAAATTAACAAATAAAAAAAAAACAATTGTAAAACAATTCAATATAAGGGGAAAATATTATATTCAATGTGAATATTGAAATTGATTTACCTCATAATCATGAAGTATTAATTCAAGACACAAAACTGTAGAGCGATCCCCAAATGTTGTACGCTCGTAGCATCTTACAACACGAACCTTGATGTTCCATTCAGTTTTGTCCATGTTCACATTCTTCAGGCCATGATTTTTTGTTTGTTTGTTTTTTGTTGATTTTTTGTTTGTTTGTTTTTTGTTTGCTTTCATGTGTGTTTTGCTGTAAATGTAGGAACGGAATAGAAGTATTTATTTATTTATAATTCAATACTTGATCCCACTAACTACAATAGTAAAACATGACTTGTTAACTGCCAATAGAAAGTGTTGAGTCCTTAACTGCACGATAGAGTGGAAGTACTTAACTGCTCAACACGATACGTAATCCAATTCAACCACTTACTGTAATTCAATTCATTTATTATTTATTATTTATTGTTTATTGTGTATTGTGTATTAGTTACCACTTACTGTAATCCAATTCATTTATTATTTATTGTTTATTGTGTATTAGTATACAAATGCGGCAGTTACGAATCAAACTTAATATCTGAACACGATGTATAGTATTACTATTACTATCACTGTATTATTATTTTTAAATATTTTAGTTTAAATTATTTATCTAATTTTCATAATTTGTACTTTATAAATTAAAATAATTATAACTGTTCGTATGCTTCTTGCTAAGTTTTATAAATTTTTTTATCTTATTTGTGTAAATATTAAATCTAATAGTAGTGAAATTACATATAAAATAAATTAAAAACATGTAACACACAAACGTTCTTCATAATAAATAAATAAATAATATTTTTGTAGAATAAATAACATATTTGTAGAATAAATTTTTATTTCACTTTCTACAACATACAAATTAAATTTATACATACAAATTAAATTTAATTTAATTGATGAAATTAAATCTAGTAGGGCTGAGATTTTAAAACCAAGAACCGGGAAACTGATCCGAACCGAACCGAATTTGGCCGATTCGGTTCGGTTCCTAATTACAATATAACAACTTTCCCGGTTCGGTTATTTTTAGGTTAAATTCGGTTCTGGTTCTCGGTTATGCATCCAAAACAAGTGAAAGAACCGAAGAACCGGTTCCACACATACATAACATGTTTACATTATACTCCCTCCTATTCATTATAAATGTCGTTTTGACTTTTTTGATTCATCCATTTTGTTATGTATCTAGACATATTAATGTCTAGATACATATTAAAATGGATGAATCAAAAAAGTCAAAACGACATTTATAATGAATAGGAGGTAGTATTATATTTTTTTTTGGATAATATAATTACAAAAATGAGGTAATAAATGTGAATTACCAACCCACCTCAGGTACCCAACCCGCAGATCCCCCTATTCTCAACCCAAATTCCCTTCCAATTTTCTTTTCCTTCTTCAATAAATCCCTAGGTCGCCGTCGGCCCGTCGCCACCATCAGCAGTCACCATTTACCTTTTCTCGCCGAACCATCGCCAGCACCGGCAAACTCCACCTAGCCGTCGTCGGCATACATCTACAACCCACCAATCTCTAAGCCCGACACACGCATATCGCATAATCGTCATATCTGGGGTGTTTGAGAATTCCGATAGGTTTATGACGAAAAAGTAGACAAGTGGATGGATTTTTATTTTTAATTTTTATTTTAATTTTTTAAAGAAGTTTGGATATGGATCTTCGAAGGCTCGAAGGTGCAGAGAAGGCCATTGAAGTTTGCTGAGTTCGGTATGATTGAGGAAGATAATTCAAAGGCTTGTATGTTTCTGTTGGTGAAATAATTTTGCTTTTCTCGCCAAGTTTTTCACTTTAGTCTAAGAACCGGAAAACCGAAATAACCGGACCGAATACCAACGGATCGGTTTCTATGTGGTTATTCCAAAAATTGAGGCAGTAACCGAACCGAAAATCTTTTGAAAAACTTGGTTGCGGTTATTCAATATTTGGACAAAAACCGAACCGGTCCCACCCCTAAAATCTAGTAATAGTGAAATGTTCGATATTGTTGAGTACTTCTTAACTGCACGATAGAGTCTGAGTACTTGTTAACTGCTGAACACGATAGAGACCGAGTACTTGTTAACTGCTGAACACGATAGAGACTGTAATCTAAATTTAACCTGTTCATTTATCATTTATTATTTATTGTTTATTAGTATTTGTTCATATATTTTAAAATTAAACTAACGCAGTTACGTAGGAACGTAAGTGAATGTAAGTGAATCTTATTAATATCTGAACACGATATATATTATTAGTATTATTATTACTATATTATTATTATTATTATCGTTATTATTATCATCATTAGCATTATCATTATCATTATATTATTTATTATGCTATGTTTTATAAATTTTTTCATCTTAAATTTTGTGTACAAATATAAAATCTAATAGTAGTGAAATTAGATATAAAATATTTTTAAAACATGTAACACACAAACATTCTTTATGCTTCATAATAAATAAATAAATAACATGTTTGTAGAATATTTTTTATTTCATTTTCTACAACATACAAATTAAATTTATACATACAAATTAAATTTAATTTATCTAACTAAATCTAGTAATAGTGAAATGTTGTACTTCTTAACTGCACGATCCGAGCACTTAATAACTGCTGAACACATTAGAGACTGTAATCTAAATTCAACCAACCTGTTCATTTATCATTTATTATTTATTGTTTATTAGTAGTTGTTCATATATTTTAAAATTAATCTAACACGGTTACATAGGAACGTAAATGAATCTTATTAATATCTGAACACGATATATATTATTAGTATTACTATTACTATATTATTATTATTATCGTTATTATTATCATCATTATCATTATCATTATATTATCATTATATTATTTATTATTTAATTGTTGAAGTATGTGATTCAATTCATGTTGTTAATTATCATTTTTATCTATTTACTATATAACTATTACTATTATTTATAAGTCGATAATTAGTAATTGTTAATTTTTATTTTATGCAGGAACAACAATTCGGTTACATGAATGAACGCCGAAGTGAAGAGTTTTATTTTTTCTTTAGTAATTTTAATTATTAATGTCTCTCTATATAATTAATTTTCATTAGTAATTGTCTATTTATATTGAGGGATCACCAAGATTGAAGAAGATGCTTTCAGCCTATTATAAAAAAATAAAACAGGAAGTACCATTGAAGTAAAAGTAGTCTATTTTAAAACATTAAAACACGTAACTACCATTTAAAACATTAAGTAAAAGTAGTCTATTTTAAAACATTAAAACATTAAGTAAAAGTAGTTTATTTTAAAACACGTAACTACCATTTAAGTAAAAGTCGAATAAAGAGAATAATTTTAAAAATTAAAAATTCAAAAGTACAACTACTCACGTGGATCAACATGCAATTTATACACTTTCCCAATATAGAAAGAGTATTATAGGGCCCACAACTTGCTTTCTAAAAATAGAAAGTGAGTTGCCTAATTATATAGTAATTAGATTTGATCAAAACTAATTTATTGCATGGAGGAGCTATAAATAATGCTATTTATTATATATATAAATTTATAATCTATCTATTTGTCTATATCTATCTATCTATACCAATGTTTTAAAAACTGTACCGGTCATCATACCGGTGTAGCGACCGGTATGCGGTATTACCGGTACGACCGGTATTACCGTCTATTTTACCGGTTTTAATAAATATTAAATTAATTTGTTATTATTATATAAATAATATACAAAACTAACTTTAATTAATATTAAAATAAATTAACATCTAATAACAATATAAACATATTAAAGTTAAGTGTAGAAATTTCAATTTATATAAATAAAATAATAAAAATCTATTAAAAATATTTTTTTAAAAAAAATGGCATAAACCGGTATTTTGACCGGTATTTTCGTCGGTATTTGTCGGTAAAACCGGTATTTTCCGGTACGAAACCGGTATTTTGGCCAAAACGGTATTTTGAGTGTAAATGTACCGGTCGGACCATCGGTATCCGGTATTACCGGTAATACCGGCTGTTGGGAAATAAGGTCGGATAAGATGGAATAATAATAACACACCAATGTGAAATCGATAAAAGACACGAAAGTTTGTTAACCCAGTTCGGATTAAATCCTACGTCTGGGGGCGAACCAAGCCAGGAGAATGAACTAGAAAAAGAGGATAAACCGAATGTTACAACTCACACAAGCCCGTATGAATACACTCTCTCTACTCTTTTTCTCTCTATCTCTCTTGTTATGTTTTCTTTTGTTGTGATTTTTACATCATGATTCTAGCTCTATTTATAGAGAAAGAATGCATCAAAATTTCCACAAATGTGTGCTAACATTTTTCTCCCACGGTGTGCTACTCCATTTTTTTATTTAT